TGTCATTATTGCTATAATTATCATTATCATTATTACTATAATTATCATTATCATTGTTTTATTATTTTTATCAATGCTATTACTATTATCATTATTATCATTATCATCATCATTAGTGTTATTACTATTATCATTATTATTTATATAATTATTTCCATTATTATGATTACTACTATTTTCTTTATCATTTATATATTTATCATTACGATTATTATTATCTTCATAATCACTATCATTGTTATTTTTACTATTACTATTACCATTATCATTGTTACTGTTATTTTTATCGACATTATTATCATTATGACTGTTATCATGATCATCATTCATGTTTTCATTATCATCATCATCATCATTATCATTAATGTTTTATTTTTTATCAATTCTGTATTTTCATTATTGTCATTATTTATATCATCATTATCATCATGATTGTTACATTAATAATAGTGATAATGATACTGATAATGATAATTATAGAAATAATATTAATAATGATAATGTTAGTAATAATAGTAATAATTATAAGGGTAATAATAATAATAATAATAATAATAATAATAATAATAATAATAATAATAATGATGATAGTGATAACTAACAATAATTACTATTATCACGATCATGATCTTAATAAAATCTGTACGCTGACGGGATCCGATTTCGGCTGGCTGTCCGTCCGCCTTGTGCTCCCCTTCAGTTCTTCGCCAAACTCTGCTTTCATCTTGAGGCTTCTTGGCACAGCCATTGTCTTCGGATTTTTCTCCTTCTTTCTTGAGATTGCCTTTGATGTTCTTTCTTGCTACGACATCCGCTTCTCCCTCTTTTTTTGCCTAAATTTCTTAGCCCTATTTTTTACCTATCTACAGTGGGCTTTGGTGTCTGCGTCTTGCCCAAGTGGTGTATGTTCTTCCTTGTTTTGTTTCTCTGTCTTGATTCTTCTTCGCTACTTACGTCTTCCCTAAATCATCTCCTTCCCTTTTAGCTTACCTATATTACCTTGATATTGATAAATGATAATTGTTGATAATATCGTGCTTACCTCATTCACTCCTCTCCTCTACCTTATTCTTTTATTTTCCTATCTCTTCCTATATTGTCTTTCCAGTATTTACCTCTCCCTCACTCCCATCCATACCTCCCCCCTCTCCCCCTCCTCCCCCTCCACTCCCATCCATACCTCCCCCCTCTCCCCCCCGCCCCCTTCCCATCCACCACCCCTATACGTAAAACCCATAACGTAACCCCGTTTTAAAGAAGTCTCCGCTGCGACTTAGGCGTTTTGCTTCGAATCTCTCTCCCTCGGGTCGCTATAACGAGGTCGCCGAGCCCTCTCCTTGTGTGGTGAGAAAATCGTGTTCTAACAAAAAGCGGTTTTGATAGTCTGGAAATAGAATGAAAAAATATTGATGGAAGCAGAGGAAAAATAAAGGAGGGAAGAGAACAAGGAGACAAAACGGGGGAGGAATGAGGAGGGTGTGATGGGAGGAGGAGAGGAGAAGGAGGAGGAGAGGAAGAAGGTGGAGACTGAGAGGGGAAAGAGGGGAGAGGAGGGGTGCGGCAAGGGAAGAGGAAGGAAGAGAAGGAGCGGGAGGAGGAGGAGAGAGCAGGACACGAAGAAGAGGAAGTGGAAGAAAAGAAAGGAGTAGAATGAAGAGGAGAAAGAGGAAGAAAAAAAAGATCATGATAGATAAATAGAGATAAAGAGAGGTGTGGCGTGTGTGAGAGAGAGAGAGAGAGAGAGAGAGAGAGAGAGAGAGAGAGAGAGAGAGAGAGAGAAGAGAGAGAGAGAGAGAGAGAGAGAGAGAGAGAGAGAGAGAGAGAGAGTCAGTGAAGCAAAAATAATTATGCCTAAAAATATGTTGACACCTCTGAAGTGAATATCTTTAACATTACAAAACTCAGCCACTATGAGACCGAGAAACCTCCAACTGCTTTGCCTTATTTCCTTATAAGAGTTTTTTTTTAATATCTTGCCATTTTATCTAGCCTTGTCTGCTCAATACCTATAAACATAATCAAATAATGAAAATAATAATCAAAGTCCTTATCCTAAATGTCTTCAAAGAGCCTCAAAACACACATAAAAAGTGTTGGTATCTACTTATTTATTAATTATTTTTATTAATCATTATTATTATCATTTCATTTTATTCATTTATTAATCCTTATTATTATAATCATCATTATTATCATTATCATTATTATTATTATTATTATTATTATTATTATCATTCTTTTTTCTTTTTTGTCGAAAATTGAAAGGAAGTTAAAAGACTTGCGATTTGTGGTTCTTGGCATAGAGTGTCCGAAGCCAATCTGTATTGAATCCAATTTCATTACTATGTCTGTTATCGGCGTTGTCATTTTCGTGTTTTGTTGTTACAGCTGCTGTTGCTGTAGTTGTTGTTGGTTCCCATGCAGGCATTGTTATTGTTATTTCTTTTATTTTTCTATTTATCTTTTCGTCATCTTTCCCATCCTTCTATTTATTATTGTC